AACGATAAATAATCTGTAAAGACGCCTTATATAGCGCTCATTTTGTGCGCATAGGTCTATACAACATCGACGGATTATTTAAAAATCAACAACGCAATGACAACACAAATACAGTGTTACTTCTCAACACTCACCATATGTATGCACAAGTTTGTGGGTCCATTTTTCTACTGGAAAGTTTGTGGGTCACATTTTCCTACTGGTAGATATTGCGTGGATAACAGCGTTTATGTCGCGTTGCATTCAGTGTGTTAAAGGAAGAACTATTATGTTAAAATTAAAGACTTCAAAAATAGCGACATTGGTAAGCCTAAAGCGTGAGTTGAAAAAAAAAAAGATAAGATCTTTTGTGAACGTTCATTGATAAATCTTGTTCCTGCCCTTCAGAAAAAGGGAATCCTTTTTGAAGTATTTCTACATATCCTAGTTTTATGCCTGTTTTGTATTCATAATGTCGGTTGATATAAAACGAGCTGCGATGAATTCTATGAGGTGCAGTTTTCTTCCCTGCTGTGTCTTATTTGTCCGTATTTTGAGTTAATGTTCGATTATACTTCAAAATTATGCGATTACGCAACACTTGCTTATCGAATATGACTTATCTTTCCTGAATAGAACATGATCATGCCGTTATTCCTCCACATATCATTCATTCTCTGACTAAGCGTAAGAGATAATAAGACGTTTTGCGTGCACCTAATTGACAAGTTCATGGATGCATTCTGACGTGTGCTGGTAAATTATTATTGAGAATCGTGAAGGAACATGCTCAAGCTCGTTGAACAACGCGAATTTCAAAGTGGTTCTTGATACTGATTCAACAAACCTGTTGTAACGCGCTAATAACTCGTTAAATAAATGTGTCAGGTGCTTTCTCTTCGAGAGAATGTGGCACTACTCATTTTTCGGAACGTGCTGGTCCCGCTGGTTGCTGGTACGGTACAGGCACAAAATGGTCAAAAATTGAATATCCCATTAACTTGCGTTTAGCGATTTCGTCGTCGTATCTTCATCGTCAAACCATCGAGAACCACAATGAAATCGCAACAACGAATTCAGAATAAACTACACTGATGCTTTAGCATATGACTTGGTAATGGTGATATGCTCATTGACAACAATCGGGGAAGTTCAAGTAATACCTTACGTAGACGTTATACTCTTCGAAGAGTATAGCACTTCGTCGCCAGTCACACGACTGGCGATGGCCAGTAGTCAGTAATGGCGTCTTTTATGCGACTTATAACAGCCAACATTAGCGATCACCTGTCGCTGACAACAAATTGCTTATGTACAATTGGATTGAATTGTAAAGGTAGGGCGTGGTTCTTAATGATAATATAGCAACAGCGGTGCTTGACCGATTTCTACAGAAATCCCCCATTTTGTATATTTCACATTGGTGGGTGACTGCATAGTTTGTAGCTTTTCCGGACTACCTATTTAAGCAGAAATCTCTTTCTTGTAGATCTGAATTTCGGCTTAGTTCAAATGTTCAAATGCGCTGAAAAGCCGGAAAATGAAATAATGATTCCTATCCGTACACGACCAGCATCATTTTATTCTTACACACGATTGACGTCAAACGAAGATTTGTAGGAGCACTGGAGCTAAAGCTGGAACATTTGTCAGCACACTCACGGCCAGGGCGTAAACGCTTTTTTGTCTATCTATGGTGAAGCTCATTCAAGATTCTCAAAAGAAGTCTTCTGATATAATATCAAAACACAAGATATGTTATGATTGCTGAGCTTCGTGGCTTCTGTTTCAGGAAGTAGATGATGCTATAGACGCAAAACAGTCTCAGATATAGTTAATGAGGTTATGATCAGGGTTGAGCGGGGGGTCAGGCGCGCCTGACCTGGGGGGTCGTATTAGGGGTGGCACGAGGGGGAGGGTCGTATTTGGGGTTAGGGTCGTAAATCGTCCAAAACTATGAGTGCAGTACAGATTTTGCAGGTGCA